GTTAACTTTCAACTGGGAGCCACAACTGGTCTTCTGTTGTGGACTTCAGCTGCAACCAAGCAACAGTGTTAATTTCATTGATGGAAATTAGGACTGAAATGTTTGCAGTGTCTTGTTTTTCATTTTAGTCAGAGATGATGAAACGCTTACAAAAATAATCTACAGTGATGATGACAAAGACTAAATGCCTTTGCCTTTGTTTGAGTATATTAAGATGAGACAGTGACCTGTTTGACAAAAATTCATAGAGAAATAAATTGTCACATGAAGTTCACTTTTTTGCATTTACCTTGTCTAGCAAATAGCAGGCTGGCTGTAATGAGTGTAATAGTCCTAGAGCTGCGACTGTGTGTTGATTGCATAGTGCCTTGAGGCTACTACCATGTGACAGTTGGGGTGTGCTGTTTTCTCTCCTCTTCTCTTTTGATTTGTATTGGTCTCTCATTTCCAGCCAGTGTTTTCCATACCCCTGCATGAATCCTTACTGTGTGTTAAACGGTTCGCACCCAGATAAAGAATGAGATGTATTCCCTGTACTAATTGGAGTAAGAAAACTAGAGCACCTTGATTAGAAAAAGAAAAGTTGCAGAGAAGCGAAATGCTTGTGGTACTCAATGCTTTCAGACGGAGGTAAAGGATCTGGAGGCCGACAGTACTTCATTTACGAATAGAAAACCAGGAAATGCCCTTTAAAACAGTAGTAAAAAAAAGAAACAGCATGCGGCTACATTATAATTTGAAAAACTACAGAAACTTTGAAGCCCCGTATGAATATATTGTAACTAGTCAACAAATTAAGTGAGAAACTAAGAATGATCCATATTTTACCATTTGCATATCAGGAGATTACTAGTTTTGTGTTGCCTAGTGATAACTGTATAAAATGTGAGAGTATGTGCTGCTTTTCAGGTTTGTAATGCTGCTCTGTAAAAGGGAAATAAAACGGGATTTCTTTTGTTCATATTTTATTTTGAAAACATTACAATGAGTGTGTAAAATGCGTTTTGTGTACTGCACATTTCACAGCATGCGATAGGCGCCAATTCACCATTGCCATTCTTCAAGGGCACGGGAAATGGACAGGACTATATTAGGAAATATTAGGGAATTTAATTAGGGAATAGCATTATTGTCAGCTCCCGGTAAGGTGTTCGCCACAGTGCTGCTGAACAGAGTACGAGACCGTTCATCACGGCGTCTAGAACAGAGTGGCTTCACTCCTGGACGCTCCACTGTTGATTGCATTGTCGCAGTGAACACATTGATGCAGGGCAGGAGGGATTTTGGCAAACCACTGGGTTGCGTATGTCGACCTTAAAGCTGCATTAGATTCAGTTGACTGCCCGGCTCTATGGCAGACGCTTCGATGCACTGGACTACCTTGTAAAGTGGTTGACCTCATGGAGGCTCTGTATACATTCTGGGTACATTCAGTTGTGTTCAAGCGGACGGCGTGAGATCAGACTGGTTTCCGGTGCGCAGCAGCGTTAGACAGGGCTGCATGATCGCTCCAGACCTGTTTCCGCACGCGACATGTGGTACATACGGATCCCCTATACCAGACAGAAGTTCGACGGACCACCAGTCCTCAGCCAGTCTCCCAGTTGATCAATGCAAGGCGTCTCCGCTTCTTTGGCCACATTGCGCGAGCTGCCACGCATCGGGATCATCATCGCGCGATAGCTGCGACAGTTCAGAAACCCACCAGCCAGAAAGCGGCTGATAGGGACGGCTGGCGACGCATCGTGGACACCGCTACGCGTTGCTTAATTGCATTTAGTTTGAAGGTGTAACTGGGTGTTTAGCTAACCGATTTAAAATAATATCATAGCACCTGCAGATATTCCTTTTTATTTCTTCAGAAGAATGTGTGTAGAGTGCAAGCACTGTTACAGACATGAAACACAGGCCTGTGACTTTGTTAGCACAATACTAGCATGAGGTCATTAGCACTTAGACTGCTCTTAGTTCAGTTAAATTTATTAAATTTATTTGTCATATGAACAAGAAGTTATGAACTTCTTGTTCATATGAACAAGAAGTTAAATAACTCTCCCCCCTGTCTACAGCTGGTCAAGGTGCTCTAAATGATACCTCTGTAGAAGGTGGTAAGAATGGGGGAGGGAAGGTTTGCCCTCCTCAGTCACTGCAGAAAATGGAGACGCTGCTGTGTTTTCTTGACTAGGGAGGTGGTATTCAGGGACCAAGTGAAGTCACCTGTAATATGCACACCAAGAAACTTCGTGCTCCTGTCTAACTTGAAGATGGACCAAATGTTTTCAACTGTCTGAGGAAGTAAAGGTGCCGTTGTGCCTTCTTTTGTAGCTCCAGTTACATGCTGGGACCACGTTAAATCATTAGCAATGAAGGTACCCAGGAACTTTAAGCTGCTAACCATCTCTACAGCCACCTCTATTGATGTAAAAAGGGGTGTTGTTCCCACCCTGTTTTCTAGAATGGATAACCTGCTCTTTGGTTTTGCTGACGTTGAGGGAGAGATCTTCAAAGTACTGCTCTACCAGGTTCCTGACCTCATCCCTGTTGGCTGTCTCATCATTAGCGGTGATTCGGCCAATGATGGTAGGGTCATCAGCATGTTTGTAGATTAAGTTGGAGCTGTGTCTGGTCACACAATTGTAGGTAAACAAGGAGAGCAGCATTAGGCTAAGCACACAGCCCCGAGGGGCACCTACATTGACGGTCAGTCTGGAAGAAAGCTTTCCATCGACCTCAGTCTGTGAGTGTGCCAGTCAGGAAATCCATAATCCAGCTGTATAGAGAGGTGCTGATGCCCAGGTCATTAAGCTTGCTGATTAGAGTGTCAAAGGCAGAGCTGTAATGAATAGCATTCTGACATATGTCTTGATCATCCAAATGAGCCAAGGCTGTGTGGAGGAAAGACTTACACAGAGATATCATTTATTCAGAGATCATTTACCCTTTATTACATGATTACTTCTTGTATTTGATATTTGACCTCTCTGGGGAACAATACAGGATTGTGCCAAAAAAAAACTTGTGCTTTTTGGAAGTGTTATTAGATGTGTGAAATATTTTCTTATAATAATGGTTAAAATTTCTAATCTGTTTTATGCACTTGTTCCTTGCTTAAATTGGTAAATAAAATGTTGCCACACAAATAGAAGCCTATCCAGTTAGAACACTTAACTGTAAATTGGGGAAAAAAAGAACCTGACCTTAATTTCCTTAATATTTTAAGACTAAAAATAAATTATATAAATTAAGTAATTAATTTTAGACTAACAATGTATAGCTAAAATCTTTATAGATTTTATTACATAAATTTAACTGCATGACTATAATGTGACTAAAAGTAATTCTGTTCTAGCTGACTAGAAAGAGACTATGACTAATAGACCAGGCTGAGCAGTCTGAGGGTGCCAAAACGTACATTTTCTTTGACTTGCGTTTCATGTATGTGGATCACTTAACAGCTGCTGTCATCTGTCAGTTAGCCGTGGGACCAGGGTGTCGGCTGACAGGTGGCTGAGTCCTTGGCTCTTCTTGCAGGTCAACAACATGTGGCAGAAGCAGCGGTCCAGAGGATTCCAGCAGCAGGGCTCCCAGCAGTACAGGCAGGGCAGCCCCTGGCAGGAGGAGGGCAGCCCGCACCGTGGCCACAGGCACCACCACCAGCAGGACGGCGGGCACTACAGCCGTGAACAGCGCTTCCCAGACTCCGGCTCCAGCTCCGGCTCCGGCTCCGAGTGGCACTTCCGAGGGCAGCGGGAGGACTATCTCCAGGATGAGAGGATGAGCAGCACCCGCAGCAGAGACCACCCTGAGCGGCGCAGGGACACCTCCAGGGAGGGCAGGTGGCGCCAGCACAGATACTCCTAGACTTCACTGGAGATTACGATAGAAATCTTTATGCCTTATTTTAAGTGTGAGGAGCTTTCTTACATAGGGTGTTCCACTAAAACCCAGTGCTGTTCTGATTAACCAGAACTCTTAAGAAAGACTGTAGAAAGCAGCAAGCAAATATGAGATCATTTTATCTTTTTATCATTTAAGATTATTCCTTAATTCCTACTGTTTTTGATACTTAATTTTAAATCATTGAGATACCCAACAAAAATAGGAAGAATAATGCATTATTAAGCTACTGCATTACATATTTTTGAGTTGCAGTGGCAAGGCTGAATTACATATTGAACATTGATTTAATTTGATAATGGGTCTGTATTCACCAGTAATGCTGATACTGGTGTTCTTTGGGATTTATTGTGACATGTACAGAGATAATAATCACATATATACTCAGGACTGGCTCATATATGCAGTCAGTAACATAAAGGTCACTAATAACAGACAGGCATATTTTATACTGAATTTTTTATGGTTTTTTTTATGAGATACAAATAGGTCAGTTTCTTTTTTCAAAGGACCTGAAACATCACAAAATAAGACACTAAAAAAGTTTAAGAACTGTACATGGTTTCTTGTCTGTAAATATGATGCAAATGACCAACAGAGACTGAAACAAGGTATATTTCTGGTTGTGATATTAAAACTTTTTTTGTACTGTCTTTTGCTGCCAAAAAACACATTTTTGTGCATTGTGTAAAAACTCAGGTATTTACAGTACATGCAATTTTACATTTCAATACGTTTCTGTTGTGATTTGTGTTCACTATACATAGAGCATCACAGACTTTGCGGGGGACACGGTGTTGTTTTAATAAATACAGTAGGTAATCAAAAAAAGCCTTGAAAATGGTAGAAATTTCAGGAACACTTCTGAGCACAGTGCTTGTGTGCAAACCTTTTGACTCTTTTTTTTTAAAAGCAGAACAGAAAAGCTAAAAACTATCCTTGTTTTTAGTATGAAATAATCTAAAATTTAGCTAATGATTTACATGAAAAGAAAGTGGAGGCAGCAGTAATGTTCATCAGTCGATTCTTTGAAATGTACCAGTGGTTCCTCATCGTATCTTGGTGTTACATCAAGCTCCTACTATAAAAAAGAACCCATTCGTTGTGCCTGAAAACAAGAGAATAACTTTTTTTCATGTGTGAAGACGATATAACTTGTGAATGTTGGCACGGGTGGGCACAGCAGAGGTATCTGACTTCTGGGGGACGTGGTAAATGGCAAGTGAGCTTTAGTACACATTAGAGCAGCAAAGGTGACATAACTGGAGAGGCTAACCGGTAAAACCTACTAGACTGTCTTTCCAGGACAAGAATTACTGCCCTTGATGCAGGCCTTTTTATCCTTGTATTTAATATATGAGAAGCTACATTTTTGTATACCCTTCAAAAAAAAAAAACTTTACTTTCTCATTTTTGTTTTGTTTGCTGGCAAACAAACTTCATTATTATAGACACATGATGAAAGGAGCATTTCAATACTCAACATCAAAACTTTCTTAAAAGCCATAAAGTTGTTTTCATACTTTGTCTTAAAAAAATAGAAAATACCTTCTCATATATTTTTATTGTGAAAAGGGAGCCTAAAGTGGATGTTGGTTATAAGTAAGTAAAAGGTAGGTAAACATGTTTTTTTGTTATTCTGTATACCAACATATTACAAAATACAAGTGATATCCAGCATCTTTACTATCGGTCAGCTATTGGGGGTTTATAAGAGAGTAGAACTGAACTCAAAGTGAAACAACATCAGGCTTTCGTAAATGTTTAGTATTTTAAGTGCAAAAGACCACAGATACCCACAGTTGTTGATGTTTATGGATTTTGCTGTTCAACAGCCCAAAAGGTATTAACCTTCAAAACATCATCCATCAAGTCTGTTTTCACTGCTGGTTGTGAATATAGTTTTATTTTAAAACATTTCCTTTGTCTCTTAACCTTTCCTGACACATAAGCACAAAAACCAGCTTGCCTATCCCAGTGTTTTCCAGACTTGAAGGGTGCATGCACTGTTAACCTTTTATCTAACCTGAAAGATAGTTATAGGGCAATAAGAACAGAATGTGTTTATCATAATTTACTCCATCTGAACCCAATAAATCCATTTTGGTAAACTAGAAGAAAATATGCATTTGTACTGCTGTTTGTGTAAATAACTTAATTCTGTATAGTCTACTGCAGTGGTTCTCGAACGTTTTGGACCAAGTACCACCCCTAATCCAAAAAAAACATTTTATCCATTCGAGGCCATTCTCTTTGATAAATTCATTCAGAAGCTGAAATATGTGCTCTCCTGTAGTTCCTGTTGGTAGCGGCTTACAGAACGGAAAGTCCTCATGGGACGTACCCTCAAACTCGTATCTAACGTAAACGAGTGAATTGGCCAAAGTGACTACAGACTCAGCTAATTGCAGTGAAAAACATCTGCTCATCTTAACGCGCTCTATCAGCGTATTTTTGATATCATTTAAATAATTCTATGAATAACCGTGTCTTTCGGGGGGGCAGCAGGTCGAGCTGTTTAGCAGCTTTTTCTCCACACATAATACGTGTCAGCTCTTTTGCCAATGGTAAATAAGGTTCTTCAAAAATAGTGTGGGGCTTACCTGCTTTAGCAATCCGCAAGCTTGCATTTTTCCCCGTTTCCGTTTTTATTTCCGTATTTATTTTAAGTTTATATTTCATGTGCATGGGAGCGAAACACAGAGACGCTCTGTGTATTTTTCTCGAATTCGAACAGTTCTTAAATATTTTTCCGTTATCTATCACGCTTTCCTGTGCTCACAAGATTACAAGCGTTAGTAGCACGTATTTCTATGCATTCCTGTGTTTATAACATTGGCATTGTTCCAAAATCACACACATTCTCCTACCTCCCTATTTGCTGGAGATCTTTTTTTTTAAATACAATTGGTCACTTCGTCCGTAGCACGCATTCCTATAGAGTGGTATAGAATTACAGAGTATCTCTTGTGTCCACTGAAGTATTAGCGCGCACTGTATCGCAGTACGTAGGCTGCGTATTCGACACGTATTAAAATAGAAAATATGAAAACCGTCCCGATTTTTCAGCGCACACAACAAAGCTGGCGGCACTACGCGTACCACAGCTTGAGAACCACTGCTCTACTGTGTTTGAGAGTCAGAAGATCGTGTTATGATGGCAAAGATTTTGAAATATACCTGAATTCTTGTCAGTGAGATGTTTTTGCCAATAAAAACATCAACTCGAATGTATGCAGACTTTCACATTTAAACAGCTTTTAAATCAGATTTCTCTACAGCTGAACATTTCATATTCCATATGAACCACATCTTAATAAATGCAGGTGTAACCCTGTCCTTAATGCTTCCCCACAGCAGGCAGTAGATGCTAGCGCACGCTGCCTTCCAGGGTGCACAGTCATGGAGAACCCTGGTATCAAATCTGTCTAGCTAGATCTAGCTCAGAGATGCTGCAGTCTCTAAAGGAGCACCTCCCCCTGGGTCACTACCGGCTGTCTTCCTGTCTGCATTGCCAGGCCATGGCCACATCCTGCAGGCTCCAGCCAGCAGTGGTGCCTTCAGTGGTGGACGGCTGTCGTCACAGGTGTGTGCCGATAATGAAGTCACAAATATCAACTGTCGTACCATGTAATGTAAGTAAATAACACAGATCTATAACCCTGTAGATCTATATATATATACTGTATGATTGTACAATTGTGTGTGTGCACATTGGATACCCAAATTTTAAAAAATGTATAAAGTTAGAATGCAAACCGCAATGATCTAACAGTGCATTTTATTACTGAAACCAAAACCTGTTCTTTATGCTATTAAAACAAAAAAAATGAACTTACCTTTCTGAAAGTGGTGCCACTTCCATAGAACCAACTTCAACCGACTGGATGCGTCTCAGTCACATGATGCTTTACTGGTATATTTTTTTTCTAAAATAGGAGCTTGGACTGGCATTCCAGTGCAGACCCTAAAACGTAAAACTATTGTTTATTTCTTGAAATTGCAGATGTTTAAATTGTAAAAAAAAAAAAAAAAATAACAGTGCAGAACTATAAACCTTGAAGCTTAAAGAGGTTTAGAAGTTGACAAATCGGCAGTTTTCAGGAGTCTAGTACATGCCCAGCTATAACACTGTCAGAATATTTTAATGCAAAGAGATCCTCATTTTTAACATTTACTCCTAAAGAATCTCCTCCCTAATTATTGAAATGTGTTTGAAATTAGCAAAACCTACATTCCCCATGCAGCAGACGCGCTGCCTTCAGCACCACGGCCAGCGGCTCCTGCAGCACACGGGATGCCGACACACAGGACAGCCAGGCTGCGCACCGTGCTGAGGGAACACGGGCGCGCAGAGAGCTCTGCGGCGGAGGGATCATTTACAATACTGTTTAATTCACGACGCGGCCGCTAAAACGTGTGACAACACAAAACGATAATAAGTAACAATTCGCAGATTAAACCTGTTCGCCATAGTTACGATGCGCCTTAAGAGTCAAACGTCACGGTACTGCTTTAGGTAAGTAGCCTTGCAAGCTGCTGGAGTAAGTGAAGGAAACTGTTGTCGGCTTTAGAAAGCAAAATGTGTGAATTATTTACACGCCATACAGTAAATATGTTTATAACCTGTCAATAGACGCGCTTTCAACAAAACCTCTACGCACAAAGCATGCCCTCTGCTGGCAACGATGACTGCTGCATGGCAAGGCGGGTCAGAGCCGAGCTGCAGCACCTCTCGCCCCTACTGCTCCAGCTGTCTGCAGATGGCGCCACAACCCACCCTTCGAGATTTCAGTTTGAAGCTCTTTCAGCATGCTGTACTTCATCGGGAAGTAGGGAAACTACACTGTGGATCCTAGCTGTGTCAAATAAATGTAGTTCACGATATAAATATAACATGTTCTAATATGTAATGTATAAAGTTTCAAATTAGTTTACACGCAAAGTAAATTTTACAAAGTAAAGCTTACAATATAAAATGGATGGGGAAAAGGGTAAGCTCAGTAAGGTTAAAAGATATATCCTTGTTAAAAACATTTGTATAAAATAGTCACCCTCAGGCTGCTTATCTAACCCACATAGTATCTCACTATAACAGCCTTTCATTTTGAGATAATGTGTTGAAGCTGTCATTAAATATATACTGCATATACTGAAAGATATATTGCAATTATGTGGAGAGGATACAATTGCTGAAGAGAACATGTTGGTGAGCATGTTTCATTTATTTTACTAAACACCTGAAAGAGAGGGAGATGGTGACATCCTATGGAATGTGAAATAAATTCACTTGAAAAAGTGGCTTATTAATGTGTCCCAATTCTATACTAACATGCACACCCAATACAAAATAGGTTAATAAATAGATCCGTACCAGTACAACATAAATACACGTAATGTGTATGTTAGCGGACAATCCACTTACAGTATGATACTGCAGAGAGTGTGCAAACACACACAGAAGCTTGACATATTTTCGATGCTTGGAAAGGGCTTTGGTGAAGAACAGCCCCCCCACTGCAGGACAGTGCTGGGAAGGCCGTCATTAAACACAGGGTCTAGCATAACTGTTTTAATGGGTTAATCTGGCTGGCGTCGGGGGGCCCAGAGAGAGGGGATTACAGCGTCCTGTGCTCACTCCAGTGGACTTTTATAGAAGAGATTCCTGAGAGCGCCGGCAGTGGAGGTGATCTTCACCAGGAACCGGGGACCCTGCGTCCCGCAGCTCGGATTTCAGGGGCTCCAGTGCCAGCCCCAGATACTGCAGCCTCACAGATGTCTTCACTGCCTCTGAAAACAATGAAGGCAACTGCTTCAAACCTTCAAAAGTCTTTCCATTGCAAATTTGTCATTTAAATATTGCCATCTCACTTATCCTTTTCCCAGGCATGAATATCAAGGCACATATCCATGTTTATAATTTACATCCACAAGAATTTCCCCCTGAGATGTTTTTAACCTGTCTTTGATCAAACTGAATGAGAAAAGGGGAAACTGACAAAGTATAGAGAAAAGATCTTCCACATCAAGAAGACATTTTATTTGCAATTATAAAAGTTGTTCAAGGACACATCAACATTTGCAAATCAAGCTAAAAGATGTTACTGTACAGAAAGACGCAACTTATGAAAAATATATTGATGTTTATATAGACACCATTTTTTTAATGTTGTAAACTATGGCAGGGAAGCAAAGAACATAATTGTTAAAAAGTTCAGCAAAATTAAGTGTGTTGTGAACTGGCAAAGAAAAGGCAATGCATGTTTTTCAACTCTATCTCATATTTCCAATGCAAAGAAGCTTAAGGATCAGGAGGCTGATGCCTCACACTCTGCAAGTTCCTCAGGTGGGGAATCCATAGTTCTGATAATGAAGTTCCCAAAACATGTATTACTACAGTTTAAAAAGAAGGACAACTTAAAACAGTCAATTATTAATTGTTTTGAAAATGTTCAGTATATGTTCAGTAAATGTTCAGTCCACCTCTATGCACCAGACATTAAGCTGTAATCGCTGCTAAAGGCGGTCTTACAAAGTACTGAATAAGGGGTCTGAATACTTAGGTAAATGATAAATTTCAGTTTTTTTTTATATTTAATAAATTTGCAAAAATTCCTAAAAACGTGTTTTCACTTTGTCATTATGGGGTATTGTGTGTTGATGGCAAAAAAGAATCAATTCGATCCATTTTGAAATAAATCTACAACACCACAAAGTGTGGAAAAAGTGGAGGGAGCTGAATGCTTTCTGCAGTATATGTTCATACTGAAACATCTGTGTGTTAATATTTCTTGTTTGTGACAGTACTCAGGCATTCACCTCCATTAAGCAAAAAATTCCCAATAGCCCAATTTATTATTTCAAATAAATATAATATTGTTAGAGAGTGATTTGTCTTAACACCTTAATTATCTATAAAAGTTGTGGAATACTGCAACATTCTGACATGTGCATTATATTAGTATCTTACTTGTATAAATTTGGACTGAGGCGCATGAAGGAGCTCTTTAATAACATACTGAAATTTAATGTTAAAAATACAACTCAACCAACAACCCATAACCTCACAAATAGGGTTTACTGACAGCTTTGGACTTAGCTTCTGGATTCTGGACTTGGCTTCTTCAATCTTTTAAAATGGAGTCTATTATTTAGTTCTGATTTTAAAACCTATTGTACAAGTGTTACTGGATCAACTGCACTTATTGTCACTTCCTCGCTCATTCAGGACTTCACTTACAAATGCCTCTTTGCACAAAGCTAGGATTGGCCTAGTTTGATTTTTATGGCTCTACATATCAGCATGAATCTTATAATACCATATGCCATTTCACCAAGATGTCGAGTGAAACAATTAAACAGTATTTTTTTAATTTCTCTGCAAATACTTTTTCAAAATGTGCAGCTAAATGGACATTGTAACAATGACACAATTGTACACATGGGGCACAAGTTCTCTTATTCCTTATCCTCCATTTTATTTCCTTGTTCATTACTGATACCTCCTGGCAAAGATGTTTTATATTATATTATTTCTTTAATAAAAATGTAATGGGTGTATATATACTGTATGGAAACGTGTCATGTTGTAACAGTGTAACAGAGCAGGGGCCGTCCCACCCTTTGGAAGAAATTACCTCAAACTATTACAATGTTGAAGGTACAGTAAATTGCAAAACAATTTTTGTTTTGTTTTATATGGTACTGACTACAACAAGTGTATTATACAAATATGTGGTTCATTACAAAATTATCACTGTATTGCAGTTAGGAAATTTCATAGCACATTTATGGGTAACACAATAAACTGTTTCCATAAAGAAATGATCAGTGCAATTGCACAGCAATTGGAAGGTAGCGACTGGAGTCATGCAGGTTTAAAGAGTTACTGTCAAAATTAGCACCAGCTTAAAATGAAATACACCTATTACTTATACAAATATGTATTTAAAATAATAAAAAGTATAGCAGCTACCACTGCCTCATAGCTCTTGGGTCCTGGGTTTGAATCTAAACTAAGGCACCTTCTGTGTGGAGTTTGCATGTTCTCCCATCTTTGGGTTCATTTCGATGTTGTCCAGGTGTTCAGGATTCCTCCCACCTCCCAGAGACAAGTTAGTCAGTGTCACGAAATTGTCCTCGTGATAGACTGGCATCCTGCCCAATGCATGGAGGCCCAACTTGCACTCTGTTTTTTCAGGATCAGCTGTGACCTTCATCAATCATCAATAATGATCTGTTTCTGGTAATGGACAGATGTAAGCAAGGAGCTAATAATGAAGATCACACATAGAAGGAAAACCCAAGAGCTCTTTAACTGCTGATGAGAAGAACTGATGTTGTGGGACATGCACACGGCACATGATAATGTACTTCCACTGGGCTCATTCTAGTGCGATTTCACCATATTGGATCACAATGATACATTCTACACTGATAACAGTGAAGGACACTGGGATATGAACTAAAATTTCAGGAAAAAAAACAACGAAGAGCAAAAGTATGGGTGGGCTTGCCATGATGTTCTGTACTAAGCGAGACAAAAACACAAGATTTATTAAAGTGCCTTCAAGCACCACAGAAAATGCAATGAGATAAATTTACAAATCAGTAGTGGACAATCCAACGATCTTATGCAATAAATAAACATATTTTAAAGTACCCAAGTTTTATATCCAAAACATGATGTAATGTTACATTCACACTACGTATCACAGCCTTTTTTGGAAAATGCAATGTGTTATATTCTGTACCTTTATGTTTATAATAATTGGAATTGAACATTTGGTTTTTCAGATATTCCTAAAATGTCAACAATCATTTCCTTTTTGGGGGGTTATTCTCTTGTTATTCCCTCTCATTTTACATCGCAGATTTAAAGATTACAATTACGTTTCCTCAATCTAAGTGACAATATTTCAAAATTTCTATTTTCTTTCATTGTCTTTGCAACGTTCTCTGAGAGGTTTAAAAGATCGAAATTAAATCATATAATTTCCTCATGATTGTAAATGATCTCTGCTCATGTCCGGATTACACCGATGCATGCGGTTATATAAAGAGATAAATAATAATACATATATCAACAAACTAAATAACTAAATGTGATTAAAACATATATTTCTAATAAGTCTAAACGAAGTTCGTAGTGTGCTTTTAAGGAGACTGCTGGAATAACACTCCAACAATAAATCTGCACAAAATAAAAGCTTTATTACTATTTCGAAATCGAACAGGTATGCTGTGTTAACCATAAATTACATTGTCGTAAATCTGATAGACCTGACAGTAGTAAACCGAGCGCTTTAATTACAGGGTTAAAATGAACTTACAGTACATATGGGTGCAGACTAAAAATAGATGATGTAAATTTCTGGCAGCAGGCAAACACAGTAACCCGTATACTCGAAAGTTTAAAAACCCGGGCGTCAGTGTTACATGCACCGTGTGTAATATTAAAAGAAACGAACTGCCTAGCGCCGCTGGCGCCTCTGATCGCTGTCCACCCATCCTTTCTGAAGGCTTGTCGTTGACAAACAATTTTTTTTTTGTATTTGTTATAGATGAATACTATTCTTATATTCCCGGGAACGGGAATACAGCCATGTTAAAACTCATTACAAACCCGAGATTAAACCTTTCCCGCTCCGCTCAGGCCAGCACTGACAGTCTTTGCGCCTCATTCATTTACACCAAATCTTAGACAATACAAGCAAATGAGCTGCATTCACCTAAAAGAACCTTTATTATTACTACTATCACTGCAGATCGTTCTCTCTTCTAACCTTTGGGTGAATTTTGTTTTTATTTTACTGAGAGAGGGACTGAAAAATATGAACAATATTAAAACGATTTAAATATTTCAGCTACCTTCCTTCAGTCTTGATGATAATATTTTATTTATTTTGAAATATGGTTTAAGAATTGAAAAATATGTTGAACTTATTAGTAATAGCTCAGTGTTACCTGCTGTTTCGTTAATTTTCGTGTACAGTATATGTGGAAGCAAATGTATAATGTAAATCAGAACTGCGTTTAAGAGACGCTCTTCAAAGCTTTAAACAAAAACAATAAGTATTGATTGATTACTCGTAAATCAGACTGATTATTTAATAACCGCGGAATTAAAAAAAATCACTTAAACAGAAAAAAATACAGGCACGCAAGAACCTTATTTTTAGAGGGTTATTATGTTACAGAACTGCAAGCACAAGGGAACTTCAGACGCTACAAGTTAATCTTGAAAACGAATGAAAAACACAGTAATTAACCATAAAAGCAACGGATGGGGAGGAGGCGCGGAGAGGACTGAAGGCTTCAACATGGGACAGACACGCACGGACCTCTGCCCTGTTCAGACCTATGAAACGCACTCTCTGCATCTTGACGGAATGCGACTGGAATCATGAATAAGTGTAAAGCGCAATACTAAAAAAAAAGATTCGAAGCAAGGTTACTGTGAAAAGGGAAAAGAATTCCCTTCAGGTGAATGAAGCTGAGAAAACGAAGTTTACTGTCAAGCGATCGTTTTAAAAGGGCGAACGGACCGAGCGCACCCACAAGTGACACAGCGCACGGCCGAAGGTTTTACACAGCCCTGCGATCAACAGGCCTACTTGTTAAGACTTAGTCGCAAATATTGAATAACGCGTGTCTATTGTCGCCGTTCAATGCATTCAAATCCGGTGGGCTAATGTGGGGTTGGTGGAAGACATGTATAAAGTTTTTTTTTGGGAACCCCGAGAAGCTTCTTCCACCGGGCGGGGAGGCGGAGATAAGATGCAGGCTGGGACAACGACTGAGGTTACGAGTTTACAGACTAATGCAGGAAAACGTGCGTATACATACAATACAGTACATTCCCAATAATGTCATGGTAAAAAAACCTGTCTAAAATCTACATGAGACATTTTTAGAAAATTGTAACAGAATAAACAATTTGCTGTTTCCAATGACCACTGAAGTGTTACAGTTTAAATCTGGAGGACAGCTCGTCTTTCGCCTCAGGAAGTGTTTAGATAGTTACAGTATGTTCTAATTAATAATCCAGGTAATATTGGGGTGTTGTATGAAGACAAAACACAATTAGAGCACATAATACAGATTTTTTAAAAGAGGAAAAACCCCAGAGAAACACCTGTAAAAAAATATTTTTAAGGCCATTGAAAAATATCTAAAAATCGACAAATTGCTATGGAAAACTGCATTTCACTCAGCAGATCTCAAGACAGGCACTTAAGGCTGTAGTCTGAACGTATTATTGGTAAGATTTGAATAGTAAAATAAGAACATCGAAATCAATATTAGTAAAAATAACGGATTAAAAAAAGTTTCACTGCGCCATTACATGGTGTTACAGTATCAATAAAGTTCAAAAGGGCAAGCGAACACATCACCTTGCATGTAGAAAAATATACCAGTGCAAATGACTAACGAGCACAATGTAAACAAAAACATGACCCACAAAAAATGCAATGCTAGAAAAAGAGGCAAATTACTTGTAATGAACGATGCGACTCATTCTCCCTTCTCTGCTGCTTCTTATTGCTACAAATCATCATCATCATCACCATCCTCCTCCTCCTCCTCCACGCATTAAGGCGTTGATAGACTACTCGCTGCCTGAATCAACAGCAGTTTTCCCGTTTCCGGCTCCTTCCCGAAGCGAACTTCACTTTATTTGGTAGGAAGGGGAGCGCTCGGCCGGCGTCAGGCCGATTCCCCTAGCAACACGCGCACGAGCGAGGGAGGCTCTCTGATTGACAGCTGCAGTGTCCTGAGATGGAACTGGAGATGTATATCAGCGGGTCGTTTATATAGCAGAGGCTCCGGGGCACTTGGTGCTCAGTTCATTAATAACGACTTGCGGTACGCGCTGAACACGTTGAGACACCAAGGAGCAAGCGGTGTCTCCGAAGAATACTACCAACACAGAAACGATTATTGGAAACCGCTTTTAACGCACACATCTGATTTTGTTTTCTTTCAGTTTTCCGTACATGTTAATTTCAGATCTACTTGTTCAGTTTTTTTTCCAATAACATTCTGTGAGGAGAGCACCGGTCCTGTACAGCGGGCGATCATGCACTGCCAAGCCGAGTTAAGACTCTCGTCTCCCGGACAGCTCAAAGCAGCCAGGCGGCGCTACAAGACCTTCATGATTGACGAGATTCTCTCCAAAGAGACTTGCGATTACTTCGAAAAACTTTCCCTGTACTCCATGTGCCCCTCTCTCATTGTCAGACCCAAGCCTCTGCACTCGTGCACGGGTAAGTCGGACTTTTCTGTTTTAATAAATTGTCTTTTAATTGAGAGACAGCAGGGCAGAGACCCGCTGGTGTGACACCGATTTTCTGTTTTGTCCCGTTCTGGTGGTTTCCGCACTGGCACTGCGAGCTCAGCAGCAGCTGCAGTGTGTGTTGTCTTAATGGCATTGCTGGTTGGCATTGTATTCTGAAAACGATACCATTCTCGAAGGACCTACTCGGGACATTATTATTTCTACCATGTGATAATATATATATATAACTCTCATGTATTCAGTTAATGTTCAATTATTGATACTCTTACGTGTTCATGCATCGATTAAGATCTTTCAACTTAAGATGGACTTTTTAAAAAAAAAACAAAGTAGTAAATATATGAAGATTTGAATTGGTAACTCAGGACCACTGACAGTTAAAGGGGAAAAGGAGAGTACATGGTGTGGTATTCACAGAGACGCCTGCTTTATACAGTAACTTCAACTATCGTATTTACTGATGCATCCAGAACGGTAGGCAGGTCTCGCCCACTTGTTGCAGAAAAGCGATGTATGAAACATTATGTAATGCTGAGAAATATGTTTCCTTGTATTGTTCTTCTATAAATATATTACTTATTAATTTCATACAAATACACGGTTTTCAGATGTAAAGTTGTGTATATTCAGTTTGTGCGGACCGTCGCTTGCGCAGAAATACAATGACTTTAGTGAAAGGACGTTTACACTTGTTAGCACCATGAACATCAGAACAACAAAAGAACATAAGAAATTATTCCTAACAATAATAACCACCCGTAGTTACGAAAATCCGAAGATAACAGGCGGACGAAACAATCAATGTCAACAAAATCGACAGAAATGACCCAACTTGTATACAGTATTAACGTTAAAAATAAGAGCAGCCAATAACTGCGACGGCACTGTCTGCGTTTACTTTAGTTCTCAACGCCATTGAAAACTAAGTTTCCGAGATTTCCGTATTTGCCGAAACACAACTTTTAATGTGGCATCTTTACTGCCTGATGAAAATATAGAACAAAGAGCCTAAAGCACAGGAAGGCAACCTGTCATACTGTACTTACAGGATCTCGCTGTACATTTTCTAAATGATTTCAAATGATTGTTGATTGCTCAATGTTTCTCTTTCGTACATTCTAGTTAAACCTGTTACTTGTTAAGAAATGCCAATAGCGCTATCCGGAGAACACCAGCCCTATTGATTTATCAGCAGCGCAAGTCGTTCCAAACATTTCCAATACAATGTCACCTTTTCAATATACAGTACACAAAATTGCTGAAAATCGGTCAGTTAAATGCAGTGTCTCTGATCACTGATTTTAAACGGCTTCAGAAGAAAAACACTGAGCGCCGCTTTCACTTTTGACAACAGATAAGATTTCGAAGCTGCGGTTAAATGCCGATAAAATAACTTACAAACCCAGACATCACTTCTGGAGGGAAATGCAGAATTTCTCATTAAGTAGAACATAGGGAATGAAGGTATTTTGTAGCGCAATAACAACAACAACGATAATAATAATAATAATAATAATAATAATAATAATAATAAATAGTGCCTTTTACGATGTATCACCTCGAGACACTTTGCAGTAAAAACTGGTATAATGAAGAGTATACAGCGAGTTTAAAAGCACATTTTTAATGTGCTTTACTGGCACCAATATTTAAGAGCTGATGCAGAATTTAGAGATCTTCTATTTCTGGCCAGCACTGAAACATATGTAATTACTGGTTTTGCCTATCTGTTTTTTGTGTACTTTCCAATATGTTTCTTCACTCTTTAGGACTTAATTAGGACTGATTTTCACTCTGCATTTCACACTCGAGGTCATGGGAAAGAGAAAGGGTTAATGTTCTTAAAGCCCGTATTTCTGCTCTTTTGTGTACAATTTACTATACGGAGGCATGATGACTGAATAGGTCAATCTGCCCTGTTACTATTAGTCAAATAATAATTTGTTAAATAATCTGAGATATAATTTGGACAGCCGTCTTTCGGATGAGACGTTAAACCGGGGTCCTGACTCTCGGTGGTCATTCTCGATAAGAGTAGGGAGTTATCCCGGTGTCCAGGCTAATTTCCCCCCTCGGCCTTTACCGTGCCCTCCCAACTGTCCCCATGTGTGACTGGCTTGCACTGGCCCTGCGATGGACTGGCGTCCTGTCCAGGGTGTACAATGACTTGCGCTCGTTGCTTGCCAGGTAGGCTCCAGCTTCCTGCGACAATGTATGGTATAAAGTGATTTGGCGGATGACATGACATGATATCATTTGGACAGAGATGCTATTGCAAATCAGCCGCAAATAAGATGTTTCCATGAAATAGCATGCATTTGTAATTTGTTCAGCTATGTAGAACATGATTGCTGTATATTGTATGCATTTGCTCGGCTGTTATCCAGGGAGACGTTTAGTGTTTACTGTATTTTATGATGAGTGTATTTAGAAAAGACTACAATTGAAATAATCCAATATAACTGAATAAAGGTAAGCACAGTAACACAAGTGGAACACCAGTCTTGCCCCCATAAAAAAAGGAAACTGTAAGTTCACATACAGTAGGTACAGTAGTGTGGATCCTAAACAGCGATGCAGGGACCCTACACATTCTCAGTGCTTACATGCAATATGAAACAGCTACTGTAGGATGTAGCCGCGTACTGAGAGGCTACAGGTGTGGGAAACAATATAGTTTGTTTTCAAAACCACACCAGCCCAAATCTTCCAAACATGCTCTGTTTAACACATTGGCATACAGATAAAAAGTGTACTGAACACATGAAGCAACACGACGTGCTACGAGAACATTAGTAATTGAATGGCAGCAATTTACTTGACTTTCATTTGGATGGACAAAACAAAGTAACAAAAACCAAGTAAAAGAACTATCACTGGGGAAGGGGAGCACATACGTATTTTGTTGTATCAGAAAAAAATTACAATTCTACTGAATATATTCTCTTGACTCTTAGGTCATGTTTTACTTTATTGATGAGGCTGACCTGAAACCAGCAATGCTCCTGTTAACGCCACTCCTGTTAGAAACAAAATGTCCCCACTTTAACATTGGTTAAGTCAATGTCCACTGAAAAAGATTAACTTAATTGCCTTTTGGGATGAAGGCTCTGGCAAATGCCACAAAGTTGTTATTTTTCTCTGTAATGCTGAGAATCTTAGATTTTAAACTGAGACAAATGCAATCATTTTACATGCAGTACATTTATTAGCGTTCCTTATAATGAAGGACATTGCATATTTTTACAGATTAAAAAAAAAAAATTGTTCAATGACAGAAATTAATTCCCCCAAGGAAATCAGCAGGCATTACAGTATGTGGGCGGTGCTGACTGGCATGAGGAAGACTGGCTCGTCTTGGCCTGGACTGTCCCTTGTCTCCAGCTTGTTTTGACAGAGCTGAGAAATGGTTCCTGAATTATATGGTGATGCCAGAAAGTAACACTCTTTCTGCTGCTTTAATATCACCACGTTTTCTGTTTTTCCCCTCATAGTTCATCTATTGCTTCCTGGGACGGCTACAAAAATTCACACACAACATGCAGCAAGCTTTCCGCAATATAAAAATACTATTGTAATGATAATACAGTAGTTAGCTATTTAAGCCTTTAATTCAATGTGTCGGTTTCAGGTGACAGTTTAACCCCAAGAGCTAAAAAGTGTGGCTCAGCAAAGGGGAATAGGGCATCAATTAACATGGAATTGTTTGTGTCCTTAAAATAAAAGGAGGAACTTTGTTGTAAAAATAGTTCAATTATCTCATTTGGAACCATTTATTTTTAGCAAATAGTCCTCATATCCTAAATATAACCTCCAAACACTTTTGTCGTCCCCCCCCCAGACTCATTCAGTAGATGTCAGAAAACAATACTAATGACAGGAAAACAAAAACACAAATGATATTAAATCTGAGTGACTCCACTCTGCCCCCTCTCCCCAACAGAAAACAAACAGAAAAAAACATTTCTGTGATTTGGTTTCAAAAGAAATTTAATTAACCCTTTTTTATGCTTAAAAGGGGATGAAGAAAGATGAAATGTAATTCATGAATTCATTTTTTCCACTTTCATTGACAAATCTAAAGTAGACAACAAAGTGAACAATAAAACTTTGTGTCTCACTGTCACAGTGTGTTTTTCAACTAAAGCATCTGACAGTGTGGCACACAACACACACACGAGTGCGTAGATGAATCTCACTCCCTGGCAGTTCTGGACAGAGAGGCCCGCCCTCTCCTTCTTCACATCTGCACTGAGAGCACAGCGCTGCTCTGTGGGTCTCCCCCAGCAGTCTTCCCCTGTGCCGAGGGCATGGAACCCCAGTCTAATCAGCTGTACTGTACTTTAACATTGCTGGAGCAAAATCCAGCTAAAATAATCAAATACAGGGTTAGTCAAAATGCTGTCGACAACTTTGACAGTTATTACAAATTAATTACATGGGTTACTGTGACAAAAAAGGTTTCAAACAAAGGCATACATTTCAAAGTTTCTAACAGTTACCTTACAATCCTTCGCCATCCGTGGAGAAGAAAACAAAACTTTAGTAAAATAACTGGCATTTATACTTGTCGACAATGTTTTGACTAACCCGGTATTATTAATAGATGAATTTAACTCAAACTGAATATTTTAAAGGCATTTTGGTATAACCAATGCACCAGTTTTCAGTTATTTTAAAAATTGTGTATTTTAAACCTAATTACCAAGTATTACTCTAGTTGTACATACACCGTGTCGCATTATTAACTGATTCTACAAAGTGCTTACCCATTAAAGCCACTTTATAAAATTAGGAACAACCTCAAATTCAAAATGTTGTTTGCAGTAACAAAACAAAACACTGGAAAATAACTGGATATATAAGAATAATTTTGTTCAATATTTATCTGTTTTATTCACATAAACGGAACTATTCATATGCAAGTTTAAGTACATATAGTAGTACTTAAAACACACTCATATAAAT